GGCTGCTCCAGTCATGGTCACTGTGACTCCTAAGCAAATGTTCTTGGTATAAATGACCTCATATGTGCTGCCTGATGCCATCATTCCAGGAAAGGAGAATCAACCACCTGGGATAAGATTTAGGCTTCCTCTGCTCTCAGTTTGCTTTGGAAGCATTTGATGTCTTTGGAGCTCATTTTTCAGTAAAATTGGTGAATTAAACTAAATTAGCTCAAAAACTCCCTTCTAGCGCTAACAGTCAATAGGTGTAGACATATCCTGTGTTCACTTTTCTTGGGGAGATGACTACCTAAGTGGTCTGAAGCTGGTAAGTGCTTTGTGACTTCCTCTTGATTTATTTGTAGAACAAATGTAGCCCAGGGGTTTTGAGAGAGAGATAGGTTGACCCAAGCACATTGATTCAGTGTTTAAATGAAGCGTCTGAGACATGTCGCCTGAGACTGGAAGAATTTATTGATATGGATAAAGATCCCCTGTCTGTCAGAGCTGCGGGTGCTGCAGAGGCAGAAGTGCTCTGACAAATGGCCTCAATCCCACCCCTGTGCCTACCATTATTCCACTTAATAGTCCCCGGGGAAGGCCCGCCTTGTTCTTCTCCAGAGCACCATGCCCCTCTCTCCTACTTTCAAATCTTAGCAGTACCATTAGCCCCACGTATTTATCAAAGGGGACCTCAGGGAACTTAACCCCACACCTCCCAATAATCCTCAACAGTCCCCAAAAAATAAGCCACAGAAGCTTAATATCTGTAAAAACAAACACAGTTTAAAAACGAGTTCCCCAGTCTCTTTCCAATTGCACTGCCAACCTGGAGCCTTGCTGACACAGACAATATAGAGCTGTTTCACTAACTATTCTGGTTTGAGCACCTGACACCATGTTAACACATGGAGGCACTGAACAATGTAGGCTGAATAATCAATGAAGAGGCTACTTGGTGCCGTGGTTAAGAGACAGACCCCTGGGTCCAAATCCCAGCTCTTCTGCTCACCAACTGGAAATGTGGGAAAGAGAGTAAATATTTCTGTCGTAATTTCCTCATTTTTAAACTAGGACTAATAATAATATATATCAAAGCAGTTATGCAGCTTAACGTGATTGATACATTTATAACTGGTGCCTGCCGTGCACTAGAAATGTCTTTTTAACTAAGATTAATTTAATCAGTTTGCACGCCCTGATTCCTTGTCCTTCATTATCAAATTTTTGTTTTTAGAACTAAAATTGAGTTTGTGAGAACACATTGTAATAAGCCTGGGCCCGGACACAAGCCTTCTTCGCCTTAGGACCTCTGGATACGGGCTTTCTGCTTACCTGATGCTCTGAAGCACCTCTTTCCATCAAGTTTGCTAATACGCTACTTGCCTTAGGCATCTTGACTTAGAGCTCTTTGAAAGCAGACACCATTCAACAGCACCTGATTGAGCGTGGGTGCTCAGTGAATGGCTGTCCTGTGTGTCAGCCATTGCTCCTCCTAGGAAAGAAACCACCCCCCCACCCCCGCTTCCCCACCCCGCATCTTGCTGGTTCTTTATTACCCACAATCCATCAGTGTCAGATGTTCATCTTCAATCCTGGTAACACCAACCTCCCTTCCCACTGTTATCATCACCAGCACTGTCTCTGTTTGATCATCAACTCTTGTCACCTTCCCTTTTGCTTTCCACCCACACCTGTTCTCTCTTCTTTTTTAAAAATATATTTTTATTGATTTCAGAGAGGAAAGGAGAAGAGAGAGAGAGAGAGAGAGAGAGAGAGAGAGAGAGAGAGAGAGATGATGAGAATGAATCATTGATCGGCTGCCTCTACTGGGGATAGTGCCTGCAACCTGGGCATGTGCCCCTGATCAGAATCGAATCTGGGACCCCTCAGTCCACAGGCCAACACTCTATCCACTGAGCCAAACTGGCTAGGGCTGTTCTCTCTTCTTTTACCTGTCTCCTCCACTGGCTTGTGCCCTTGACATTTATATTTCTAATCTTGCTTTGCCCTGCCATTTATTTAAGTCAGGTCAAATCCTTTTGGTAAACTGTAAAAGAATTAATTTCAAACAAAATGTTATTATTTTTCTTTGCAACCTTTTACTTTTCTCATTCACCCTCATAATCACCTCAGGCTGTCCCATTGTTCATTAGAAACCCCTTTTTCCCTCATGGGTTACAACTTCTTTATGACAGTATTTTTAAAAATTTTATTTTGTTATTGTTTTGGATTATGCTCAAAGTTCTGCTGGTCAGAGCAGTGATTTAGTGCCACCTTTATCCAATTCAATTCACATCGCACATAGTGTGAGGAGACAAAGTAGATGGCTTGAGTCACCACCCTCATGCCAGTCTCTGTCTTTGAAGTGATTCTAATCTGCTTAGCTGGATGGAAACAACAAAGGAAATATTTAGACAATAGTGTAAGCCCATCCATAAGATAAAACCTTCCGAACTTAAGTCATTTGCTCACAAACTCTGAAATGCTTCCAAACCACCTTAGCCTGGGGCCCTTCTGTGAAGTGTGGTTATGCATCGGTGTTCTTTTTCATGCATTTTAAGGTATTGCTGTACTAGTTACTTTTATGTTTCAATCTCCACAAGGATCAATATCTCACCTTCTCTTTCCTCTGTGTGTTTTCATGGTGCCAGGATGGGGACCCATTCTGGGCGTTTTCTGGGTGCAAGGCCACACAGGAAGAGCTCACAGGCTCCTAGTTTTCAGTCCCTGTCGCTCCTTAGACATCCTGTGCCTCTGGGTAGCCTCACTAATGAAACTGACTTTCAGGGCTAATTCTGCAATCACAGATCCTGATTATTCTTCTTACTTTAAGAATCATTTTTCTACTGTCTTGGAGAGCTCCACCGCAGGGGAGTAACAGCAGTAGATTGGTTATGCTAAACACCCCACCTCAGGAGTTCAATTTTGATTTTTTTTTCACAGCAACCCAGTCATTTATATCTTTGAGATGGACTCATCTTGAAACTTCACAAAGCCATTTAATTTTTAAAATCATAATTCTAGGTATTGTATCTATAGTCTTGGTCCTCTCTTGACTCCCAGGCAATACTCTGTGAGGCAGGAAACTCAAGTGCATGCCCTTGTTGAATACCCTTTTTTGTTGTTTTTGTTTTTTTTTCTTACTGCAAATGCTAATACTGTGCAGCTGAGCTGTACATATTAGAGAGTGTTTTATATTTTCTTTGCATTTACCCGTCTAACCATGAAGCTGATATGGGGCAAGGAAGCACACAAAGACGGGAGCGATTCTAGGGATATCCAGAGAATGTGACGTGGTGCATTATTTTTTCTTTTTCTGTCCTTTAGTCTTTAGACCTGTGGACAAAACACTATGCTTGGGGCCTGCCCCTGCAGCCTCTCAGCTCTGCAGCGTTCCTTGCTCTACAGACTGTGTGGTGTCCTCCTGGTCAGCCTGGGGTCTGTGCATCCATGAAAACTGCTATGATCTCCAGGGGAGAAAAGGTGAGTGGCTGTCTGTGTGTGTGTTTCAGTGACTTCCGGTGCACACACATTTTCTCTGAAGCTCAGTGGCCAATTAAGCCTGCATAAGACAATGTTTGTTTGTAAAATTTAGATAACCAGTTCAGCTCTGACAGCATTCAGGATATGTCTATGGAACAGAAACTCTGACCTTGATTGATCTTCAGATTAGGCTCATAGCTAGTGAAGGGCTATTACTCAAAAAATCATATAACTTGATGTTTTATATGTGTAACGGGATACTGAGGAAATTAGACATGATTTCTGTAGACACATCAGGGAAAATTGTTTTTACATATCTGTTTTCAGATTTCCACATGCTGAATTTGATGTTATTTTTCATATTTTCATGAAGGGCATTTATGCACGTTGATACTTTCAGTTGTGCTCAGCCTTAAAGTGAAATCTTAAAACTTTATGTACTTGTTTAATTTGGTAGTCCTTGGCAGTCTTGCTCTCTTTCATTTGCTGTGAACATCTTAACTTCTCTTTCACTGGCTCTTCCAATTGCATTGATATTATGTCCCATTACATGACAGGGCTAAAAGGAAATATTCCCTTTATTAAGACGAATGATATCAAAGGACAGCCCAGAAGTGAGGTCACATTTCCTAAGCACTAATTCCAGTGTCCACATGCAAAGAAAGAATATGAGGGCAAGTGTTTGATGTTTTCAAGCCGGTGCTCTCAGCCGAAACTCAGGTCTGTTTGAAGACCCACATTTCAACAGACCCACAGATGCACATTATGTGCCCAGCCAGGCTCACTCACCATGTCCCCTGGCTTTCCTTTATTCTGACTCTTGTTCTAAGGCAAAAGAGGCGGGTGTATATTGAGTGTAAGTCAAGGAGAAGAATCTAACTTTAATTTTGTTATCAAACAATAGAAATCTGGATTTCAATGGAACCTGGAGTGGTGGGGGCTGGTGCTACTTCCTCATTCTATATGTAACCAGAGTATCCCCAAACCTTGCCAGCTGATGGAGACAAATAATTTCTCATGAATACTAAGACCCACAATCCGTGGTCTGAGGTCCACATATGCATAATTGGACCACGTAAGTCTCTTGGAATTGCATATGAGCTTTCCCAGGGTGACTTGTGTGTTATTAGAACCAGCCCTCTCATGTCCCACCTGTGCCACTCAGTTTGAAGGTCAGTATTTAGAAAATGACATAATTGGACTTAGGCTCCCCTGGCCTCTGTGGCAGTGGCTGTCCATGCTGGTGGGACTTTGATGTATTGAGTCTTGCCTTCCTTTGTTTTTCAAGTTGTAGAACCTACACCAGTCCACGTGGGGCTTACTTTATTTGGGACACTTTTCTGCGGGGGAGGTGGGCTCAATCAGAAGGACTTGGGACATTTTTGCTTATAGGTGTCAGAAACACAATTTAAAATGACTTAAGCCAAAGGGAGGCATTTATTAGCATATATAATAAAAAATAAAAGGGAATATAGGGCTGTGTCCAAAAGTGTCCATAAGGTTTTATGTCTCAGTCTTCCTCATTCTTCTCTTTATCTTTATGAACTTCTGTTTCTATACTCTTCTATTCTTTTCTCTTTGCCCTTAAAATCTTCTCTCTCTCCGTATTTTGGTTCTATCTTTGTCTGTATTAGGTTCAGTTTAAGGCAGGCCCTCTCCATGGGATAAAGAAAAGTCTTATTTTTTTTAAACTGCTAAGCTTTTGTTGTGTGTCATTGGTATCAGCAGATTTACTGTTACCATACACATTTTAGTGATTATTCATCTTAAGAATAACGGACATCAACCAATTGTCATAACTATTTAAAGCATTCTGATTTGAAACATCTATTTCTTATAATTCATTAAAAAATTCTAGTTTTGGTGTTGTTCTAAATCATGTCAGTGATAAATTACTTATTTTCTGTTTATGTGAAGGCAACATAACCTTCCATCATTAGTTTCTTCATTTGACATTTGATTTAAAACTAGGCAACACTATCTTATCCTAATAATCTATGTTCAAGTAACATAAAACTCTACTTATGATTTCAGTAGGGCAGACTGTGAAAGTCTCTCAATTCCATTTAAACTTTCAGATATAAGATGGCATCAACATGGTCTACAAATTGCAAATTGGAGAGTGAGGCTAAATTTTTTTGTTTTCTTGATTCTTAAATATTTTTAAAAAAATATTTTTAGTCCTAGCTGGTTTGGCTCAGTGGATAGAGAGTCAGCTTGTGGACTGAAGGATCCTGGGTTTCATTCTGGTCAAGGGCACATGCCTGGGTTGCGGGCTTGATCCCAGTGTGGGGATGCAGGAGAAAATATATTAATATATATAATACATATATATTTTAAGTTTCTAGATCTAATTGTATCATAAAATCTATAACAACATTTTGTGTGGAAGTACAAATGTATAAGTACATTTTCCAAAGCCTTGTAATAAAACCAACATAGTGTCTTAAAAAGGATGGTATCTTAATATATTTTTAATGGTCAATTTTTTCAGTGTTATTGAGATTTAATTGACATATAACATTGTGTAATTTTAAGGTATACAACATAATGATTTAATGTGCATATATATTGACAAATGATTACCACAATAAGGTTGGTTAACACATCCATCATTTCACATCATTGCCTTTTGTGTGTATGTGTGTGTGTGTATGTATGTGTGTGTGTGTAAGTGTGTGTCTGTGGTAAGAACTTTTAAGATCTGCTCTCTCACTGTACTTCCCCATATTCATTGCAGCATTATTCATAATAGTCAAGACATAGAAACAACATTTGTTGACAGAAGAATGATTAAATAAAATATAATGTAAATCTATATACACACATATAAATACATACATACACATTCACCCACAAAGGGATCTTATTTAGAAATAAAAAGAAGGTAATCCTGCCATTTGTGATAACATGGATGAATGTTGAGAGCATTGTGCACAGTAAAATGTTAGATAGACAAAGACAAATACTGTTTGATCACACTCATATATGAAGTCTTTTACAAAACACACCTGAATTCATAGAAACTGAGAGTAGAATAACAGCTGGGAGTGGGGAAAGAGGAGATGATGGTCAAAGGACACAAACTTTCAATTATAAAATGACTGCATTCTGAGGATCTCATGCTTAGCATTGTGACTACAGGAAACAATAAATACTATATTGTGTATTTAAAAGTCGCTGAGAGTAGATCTTAATATTCTCAACATCAAAAAAAATCGAAGATAATTTCCTTTTTATAGTAAGTAAAACATAAATGTCTTTTCTAATAATTCCAGGCAGAGTCCTGGAGCTGACTCCCATTAGCTACTCTGTGTCAGGTGCTCTTCCCTGACCCTGTCACTCTGATTAGAAGCCAGGTCCACCAAAGGGCCAGCTCCATCCAAGCCTCACAGACAAAGTGGGAGGAAGCAACCCCCTCCAGGGAACATGAGGTGCTGATGTCACAGCAAGAAGGTAGAAGCAATGCTATGCTCAGATGTAATAGATGTTTTTATGCCCTTTGTTTTGGGCCATAGAGTCTCTACAGAAATTCAGACAGTGTGTGAGTGTGTGTGTGTGTGTGTGTGTGTGTGTGTGTGTTTTCTCCTAATAATTCTATGCTGTAATTTTTGTCACTTGAGTCCAAATTTTCACAAAAAACTTCGTGAAAAACTATTCTTTTAATGTTTATTTCAGCCTTCGCTTTCTACATAACTCAGAACTGGTTCATGGAGCTCAGTCGGGACACTCACAACATTCTGACCCCTCCTCCATCTGTCAAACTTTTTCCTCGTTGGCCCCTATACCCTTATTGTAGAAGTCAACTCCTGACAATCTATGCTGGTCCATTATTCATTAGACATCACCCACTGTGGGCTGACTTTTGTCATTCAAAGTGCTATGTCCAGTGCGAACCCCTGGTACTTGTGAATGTGACCATATCTGGAAATAGGGTTTTGCAGATGCAGTCAAGTTAAAATGAGGTCATATGTGATTAGGGTAGTTTCTAATCCAAGGACAGATGTCCTTACACAAAGAGGGAAGTTTGGACAGACAGACACGCACAGAGGAGGCCATGTGTAGACAGAGACAGACATTGCAGTGATACCTCCACAAGCCAAGGGATGCAGTGAGTGCTGAAATCTGCTATAGGCTAGGAGAGGGATGGCAACCGTCCTTCCCTGGGGCATTCAGAGGGAGCGGGGCTCTCCTGACAGCTTGGTTTTGGATTTCTAGCTGCCAGAACTATGAGAGAGTAAGTTTCTATTGCTTTACATCACCCAGTTTGTGGTAATTTGTTTTGGAAACCCTAGGAAAAGAATTAACTGCCCACATTTGCATCAACATTTAGGCTCAGGAAGAACACAACACTTCATAAAATGCCAAACGAAAGTGTAGAAAAGTAAAGCCATTTCACTGAAACCCCAGAGTGATTTCATGATGGCCATGCCAGCAGTAAGGACCTGGATTTCTGACTCCTCAGTTGAGAGTTCCTCAAACACTAGGCTTCCTTCAGGATGTCCTCCACGAGCCTAAGTAAGTTTGAATCAAGCGAAGGCTTATGCCTAGGTCAGCAGAGAAGTCCTTTGCTTGTGTGCACCACGTTGGCCAGTGGGAACAATTAGCCTTGAGAGCTGATCATTGAGCTGAGGTGGGGGATGAGGGTGGGGTCTGGGATGCCTCTTTGCACTAGTGCATTCCCTCTGGAGAGAGTGGGAAAATAGGCTGCAGTGTGTGAGAAAAGGAGGGTGTGCTAAGGGCAGTTTTAGAGCACCAAAAACAGGCATGTGTGTTTTGTGCCCTAAATAACACATTTTTCAAAGAGAGCGTAGGGAGAGCAGAACTTCTCACCTGAGTGTCACCACAGCCTCCTGCGGAGTTTAGGGAGTTTAGCGGCAGGCTGGGATGGATAAGCATTAGACTGTTTTATAGGGCCCATACTGAGGCCAAATGACTCACTTTAAGCACTACGTAATTGCAGACAGGAGAGAGTGTAAGTACCATGATTATCATTCAGGTCTGGGAGTTTGTTATTTTATAAATGCTTCCCCAGAGCAGAGAGATTTTTGATTTTTAAGGTCGTGCTAAAACCTGCCAGGGCCACCTGCCTGTAATCCCTCTTGGGACAAATAGAGAATGGAGTTTGTCCTCTAGGGAAGTGATTCTGTGCCTTCCAGGAGTCCAAGCATGTTATGATAGCAGGAAGCAATCTTGTCATTCCTACTGACTGTGAGCATGAGGTCTGAGATGTGCTCAATCTTGGACTGTCTCGTGGTGGTGCCGTGGGCTCTGCCAGCCACTGACTGGCACAAACTGGATGTGGTTTAACATTCCATGGAGGCTGGAGGGCACAGGCTAATGCATTAAGCATTGCTGACCTTTGCATGTGATCTGGATTGTTCTCATTTGAATTCTCTACCCTAAAGAAATGCACTAGCAGAAATCTCAATTGTGCATACTTTCCTAGGTTCTATATCTGTATGTATATTCATATCCATATCCATATCTTTATCTATATCTATCTGTGTCTATGTCTATTTCTATATCTAATCTATATCTTTATCTGTTGGAGGATTTGAGGGGAAAACAAGAAACCAGGAAAATGAATGTGGAAAGCTAGAGATAATGACTCTTTTCTCCTCACTGATCTTTTCCTCAGCCACTGTATTATAACTTTAGTATGTTCCTTTTGTTCACGTTTTTGTTTAATAGCAGCAGAAGATAAGAAAGCATGACATTTTTTATTATCTAATAGTGACTATAGAAATGATCTTCATATGGCTGTCATTCTCAGGCAGACATCATTCAGTCAGGATAAGGTTTGTGCCCATCAGCCATTCCGAGTACATCAGAAGGCAGCTGTTGTACATGGCCTACGCACCTCCCGTCTGGTCTGTGACAGGCGGACAAGGACAACAGTGCTCGGCAGGCTGGTACTTGTCAAGTGAAGCCAGAACACCTTCCAGAGGGATTTGAATCGGGTCAGGTTTTATCATTCGTGGCTTTATTTTTGAGGCATTCCCAGAGTTATAATTAGAGATACGAGAAAGAGAAATAGCCTGAAACATTGCTGATGGATGAACTCTACATGTGCAGCACATTTTTAAAATTATTTTGATACATAGATATATATTTTTGTTCCTTTTAGACATATTTTGGAAAGGCTACCTTGCTCATAGGAGTTGTTGTGAAGAGGAAATGATGGGGTCCCTGGATATGGTGTCACAGTGGATAATTGCTTATGTAGTAGAACATCAGGAATTCCATCCTTACCCCTATCTCACTGCCCCCCAAGCACAGCATATAAAATCCTAAAAGTCTCCATAGGAAATGGCATTTTGAAACTGAGAGGCCATGACTATCTTTGAAAAGACATTCTTCTATATTCTGAAACAGATGAATTTAGATAACACATTAAAGTAGGGAAATACATGGTTTATATCTTACATAACAATAATGGGGATCCTTTCCATTTTATATTATTGTCTGCTAGATAAATCCACCTTTAATGGGAAGCACCTGAGATCATTTTGCTTTGTCACAGGTACTATGCAGAGTAAGAGACAGTTTTCTCTTCTCTGTGTCTGGTGTGTGGGAACTGATGGAAGGCCTTGCCTGCTTTCATTCTAAGAATTGGGTTCTCATGCTCACAACCACCTATCAATGCCTCCTCTTCTTGTCTGTATTCACAACAGGGTGTAAATTATAATGATGCTATAAACTGCTCCCCCTGCAGAGATGGTGGTTTGATTACTAGAATTGAATTGAAAGATTTAATCTGCTCACCTTCTTTCACTCAGAATTGTCAACATATGCAAGACTGACAGGGATAAGGACAGGTGGGGAGTTTAAGGTGGAAAAAACACTATCTTCTTTGCTCGTCCTGTTGGACCTTGCTCCCAGCTTGTCGCCATGGAGTTAGTGTGGAGTCACAGCTTCAGCCATGGGTAGCTTCGTTGAAGCTTACGTGCACACCTTTGGGTCACTAGCACATGAAGAAATACAGTCCTCAAATCTGGAAAAGCCCACCTAAGCCTCCTTTCACTTGTTCATGGCTTCAGTTAAAAAATATTGACCCTTCTGCTATTTGCTGTTCTTCTCTTTTCTCTCCCCAATCCACATTCACTTTTTCTAATGATCTCTAGTAGAATATACACTAAACTAGTGGGCTAGACACTATATCCTTAGGTTGATAGAAAAATTAAAACCCTCCAAGTATTAGCCTCACTAAAGATGCACTGAATCTGTGGTCAGGAAGTGATTATTGTAACTCCTTCTTGCTATCCAGTGGCTAAAATTCCACTTTCTAAACTGTATACCTTTAGTTTGAGGAGATGATCCATGTACCTGTCAGATCCACCGGATGAAGTGGGGCTGGGGAGCCTCTTATACAGAGCTGACTTGCATCCTTTCTTGTGAGGAGGTAACGACTCAGAAAGACCTCCGCTGAATTTCACACGTATCCATTTCAGGAGTAATGAGCCTTTGGAGAAGCAATAAAGCATCTTCCAGCCTTAGTTTTTAAATATGTAAAATGAGCATAGTAAGTGATGAAATAGTTTTGATGATTTATTAATTCGGGGTAATATAAGTAAAGTGGCTGTCACAGTCTTGGTGTAGGGTAGATCTTAATTAATGCCTGCGCCTTCCTCCTGTTGGACTGCATTCGCTGTGAAGATCAGATTTATGTTTTCTGTTCCTCCTGTGGCTTCCCACAGTCCATTAGGGTGATCTACATACAGCAGTTAATGTTTACGGGATGATGCTACCTGATGAATATGGAATTTAGTAAATGAAGGTAAGCGGTTGGCTGGCCCCAGCCACCATGGACTTGGCAGTTGTGTGTCTTTCAGAGCAGAAGCACCCGGGGGAAGCCTGATGTCTATCGCAGGCATGAACACTGATGTGTGATTAAAGTTAAGTGCTAACCAGAGAATCTAAGGTTTTTGTTTTATGCTGAGCTTGTGCTATGATCTGATCCTAGTTAGAGTCAGGACAAGGGCAGCACAAATGAGCGACTGAAAGAATTTATTGACTGAGGAGCTGTAAACTACAGATTTATGGTGGGAAGGGTGCACCTTGACTGATAGAGGAAAGTGCACATGCCCCTCCACGGCAGTGAGGTGTAGGAATAGGACACCCAGAGGCCCTCTGAAAAGGCTGCTCAGTTTCTGAGCTGGTTGTCAAACGATGTAAATCATGGAGACCCATGCTGTGTGCTACTCAAAGACGTAAATTAACAAACATAGGTGTCAATAAGTGGAATATAGGCATCACCTGTAGGAACAGAGGTCATCCAAAGTGTGTGGCAGTGAGAGCTCAGAGGTCAGCGTAGTTTGCTGCTTACGTGTAGTTTAGAGCCCTGTATGTTTCCGGCATCTCTACTCGAGGTGGCCCAGGGAGGGAGCTGAGCCCTTCCTTGGGTTTTATTTTGACTGATTAATAACATAGACTGGGACGTATGATCTGTAGAGTCTAAAAGTCCCTTTTAAAGGGAGGTCATGGGTTAACCCTAGACCAAGAAAACCCAAATCCAGCAGTTAGGACTCTTAATACTTGCCCAGCCCTGCAATATTCTAAGGAAGCTTGGCTCCCTCTTGTGGCCTAAAGCCATGAGTCGGTTTGTTCTAGCCTCCTGGCTGTGCTAAGAGCAGCCAGTCTTTTGCCACCTGCACCTTGAGCTTTGTGACCTTTTTGTCTGCTTACTGTTGGCGGAATGAGAGGCATGGCCCTGGAAAAACGATGGGAAAGACATACCTGGCTTTGTTACCCCTCGTGCTTCCTAATGTGTCCTCTTGTTGAAAGGGAGATGTGGCATCAAACTCACTTTCTGGAAACTCAATGTTTTCATGCTATATTTCTATCAAAGACTCATTTTTTTTTTTTTACTTACCCCAAGGCATAAATGAATACTAATTTTTAGATTTCACCATGCAACAAGATTGGTTTAATTTAAAAACTAGAGGCCTGATGCACGAAATTTGTGCAATGGGCTTGGCCCTTGCAGCCCCTGCTTCTTTGGGAAGGTTGTTTGGCTGTCTGGTATAATTAGCATATTATGCTTTTATTATTATAGATGAATTAAAATAATTGAAGCAGTTGATTTAATTTGGTTTTTAGAGGATGGAACATAAAATAGGAGATCCTTGGAAGGTGGGTGCAGCCCTCAGAAGTGAGGCATCAGGAGGACGACAGATATGAAATGCTGAGTAAAGGGATTTACTAGCTCTCAGTCACTTTTCTTT